ATATTTGATTTCTGTTTACTAAATGACACCAGAGTTTCTATCCAGAATCTACTAAACATAAAAAACTTGTAGAATTATTCTATAAAAATATGGACACCTCTCTCAACCAAGGGCATGTAACTTGTCCTTATCTAGTTTTCAAGATCCAAAATTTTTATTTGCCATTTATGTATAAACACACAGTCTAGGCATATAAAAATTCTTGTGCAGGGCTCGGCTGGAGTCAAGTAAAGAGTTTAAAACCAAAAGAACAAACACCTAGTCTAAATATAAGATCACCCAAGAATACAAAAGAATAGAAAAAGCAAGAATACCCAAAAATACAAAATTGTTGATAAAATTGTGGATACAGGAATAAGATAGCAGGTAAAATGGGAGTTTCAAATATTGCACATGGTATTGCACATAATGTAATTGTATATGGTATTCTACCTAGTAGGGTAGTGAGGGGTTATTACACAGGTTTTTCACATTTTGTATTTGCCATCAGAAAAAGCTGTTGTAAAATCGTGTTCTGTTCTTGTGATGATACTGTCCACCATGCTGTACCTGAGGCTGTAGGTGCAGTTTTTGTGTCTGAGCAGAGTGTGAGCTGGGTGGAGTGGGTCTCTGATCATGTTCTCTGCTCTTTTGCGACAGCTCTGTGTGTATATTGTGTCCATAGCAGGCAGTTTAGTCCCAATGATCCCCTTTTCAGTCTTTATGACCCTTTGAAGAGCCTTCCTCTCTGCCTGTGTGGTGTTACCATACCAGACTGTGATGCCAGTGGTGAGGATGCTCTCTACCAGTCCTCTATAAGCCTGGGTGATGGGGCGATGGTTCAGACCAGCTTTCCTGAGCTGCCTGATGAAGTATAGCTGCTCCTGGGCTTTTTGTTCTCATTTTGTGTAAGGATGGAAGTCACCCTTCAGCATCACATTTTGGAATCAAATCCTTCACACACACACACACAGCTTGTGTGTGTGTGTTTGTGTTTTTCTCTGACATCAAAAAAACATGGACTGAAATGTGAGTAGAATCAAATTAAAATGGTTTTAAAATATCTTTTAATTCGATTTAGGCTACTTTTCAGAATGCTAAATATCCTGGTGTTTTGTTACATCTGTCTGTGGATGTTTGTCTATTTATACTGAGTGGAAAGGAGTTCACATTATGTTTTACAAATGCTTGCCAATTACCTTAATCAAATTTCACAACACACAGGGGGATTCAACATGCCCGGATCAGCTAGCAAACATAAGTTGATTAAAATACGTGTTTGCGAAAAGACTGCAGCAAAAGAAAATCAACACTGGATAAAAAAATAAACAAACTGGTGGCTGAGGATTCAGTAAGTAAATGAAAAACATCAGAACTGCAGTGACTACTACTGTATGTTGTAACAATCAGGGAAGAGTTTCACTGCTGCGCAGACAAGAAAACAGACCTAGGTATTAAAGGGTTGTTTATCTAAATTACATGAAGCACACTGAAAAAACTTAGAAAAAACCAACTCCAGCCACTGGTTCCACTACTTGGATGACACATGGGTTAAAATCAGGACCCAGGAGGTAGAGGCTTTTACCAAGCATATCAACTCTGTGGATGACAACATCAAATTCACTCGTGAGGATGCCAGAGACGACTGTCTGGCCTTTCTGGATTGTGCAGTCCACTTGGGAGGGGACAGAAGCCTGAAGGTAGAAGTATAACGGAGACATACACACACATGGACCAATACCTGCTTTTTGACTCACACCATCCACTTCAACACAAACTGGGAGTCATCAGAACTTTGAATCACAGGGCAGAGGAAGTGCCCACAACTGCAGAAGGGGCCAAGAAGGAGAAATTACACATCCAGAACTCCCTTAAGGCTTGTGGATACCCAAAGTGGGCCTTCACCAAAGCAAGGAAGAGGCCCAACACCAACAGGGACAAAGCAGAAACAAGAGGGGATAACACTGTCATGCCTTATGTGGTTGGTTTATCAGAGAAGTTAAAAAGGATATTTCGCAACCACAATATCCCGGTCAACTTTAAACCAGGGAACACCCTGTGGCAGAGACTGGAGTGATGTGGTGTATGCCATTAAGTGTAGTCAGGAATGTAACGACTTGTACATTGGTGAAACTAAGCAGCCGCTTCACAAATTTTTGTTCAAATAGAACACCCCTCACTAAATAGGGGTGGTGGACTAAGACACAGCCTGTCATTCATCTACAATCCTGTTTTGAGATCTCTGCCCAAACATGCCCACCAGGACAACAGACGTCGGTCCACAGGGGAGGATTCAAAGACAGGTAACAACTCTCACTGATACTGGGCTATAACGAGTCAGTCGCTAGGGGACATTGTTGGCCTTCAAAGGACTGAAACACCACCGATGGGGATAAATGTCTCTGGCTCAACACCAGTCAGAACTGATGAAGCCTCTTGGATGAGAGGTGAAACGTCTTTGACCTAGAAATCTAAGTCCAGTTGATTTTTTCTAAGTTTTTTCAGTTTACTATGACCTGGATGACTGAGAATCTGCACAGACATACATGAAGCACATTTTCTCACTTACCTTTGTGGTATTTAGCTATGCAGTTAATTTTGGTTTTATATGGCTAAAACTTAAAGTATACTCAGATAAATGCTACAAAAAGGGTCACATAGATCTGCAGGTATAAGTGTTAGTAAGTCATCTCTATATTTTAATAGAGCTGACTTTCTAGCATAAAAGAAAAAAGCTACCAGTTCTGCAGAGTAGATGTTAATAAAGTCACTAATAAAGTTCCTAGTAAGCTGTTGCTAAAGTTAAGTAATATGCAGTTAGTACAAGTTTTCAGGGTTTTTCAGGAAACAAAAGGATTTACGTTTATAACTTTAGCAGACACCATCTTGATTTTTCTAACTCAGACTTGCATCTTTAAAATAGAAAGGACTGTAGATTTAGTCTCACTTAAATCTCCCTTACATTACAAAGGGTCCACTTCACAGCCAGCATCGACAGGGCATGTGAGTACTATATAAAGAGAGACTTTCAAAACTCTGAACCTCTTAAAAAGTTTGGTCCCAGTGACCTGCAGCCCTTTTCAGATGGTGGCTCAACAGTTCACTGGAGCAAGGACACAGTAAATGTCCTACAAGAGGGTAAACACCTGTCAGAATCCTTATATGTTGTTTTTATTAATAGCTCATATCTAATTTATGAAGCATTAGTAAATGATTTACTAACATTTATAAAGCAATTAGTTATAACTTAAAGCCCATTTATAATGTGTGCCTTATTACAAAGTGGTTCCTAATTTGTAATGTGAACACCACAAATGGATTTTGGTTTCCTCACCTTTTGCCCTGAGTAATGACTCCTAGACAAGACCACAATCACTTCCACATTTCCAACCATCATATAACTTTCTATGGATACCTGTTTCCTGTGCATGTGCACTTGCATCCATATGCCTGTGTGCCTATGTTTATGTGCTCATATTAAGTATATATGCAGTTTACGTGCTCAGATGTGGTACTGCACAGGTTCACTGTATGTCATACGTTTGCAGTACATTTACCCTGTGATACACACAACTGACAGAGAGCACATGGCTATGCATGTCTGTGTTTGTGTGTACAATGCACATTTGCATTGTGCTTTATACACATTACTTTACTGTTGGTGCCTTGGTATGTCAAATAGTGTCTGTGAAACTTCAGTGTACATATGTGTGTGTATTTTTGTGATTATGTCTGTCTTTACATAGTATATCTGTGTGTATCTAGGTGTGAATATCTTGTTTCAGTGTCTGTATTTGCCATGTTTTATTTGTAATATTTCTGTGTGTGGCCTTGTTTATATGTGTATACTTGTAGGCATGCAACACAGGGACCAGTAGTCACTTGTGGGGACCAGAGGCTGGATTTATGAAAATAATGGGGTGTAATGTTAGAACAAGTGTCAGCTTTGGTTAAAGTTAGGTGTTAGGACAGTAGCAGTTCTACTTAAGTCTCCTGGAAATGAATGTAAGTCTATGTAGGGATCTTGTATGTGATGACTGCAAGGATGTGTGAGAGAGAGAGAAAGAGAGAGTGAGAGAGACAGACAGACACAACTCCTGACCCACCAGCAGTGTAGAATTGATGCAACCCAACGCTCTACAACTTACCAGCTGGAACTAATTAACAGCAACAACTTTCTCTCTCTCTGTCTCTCTCTCTTTCTGTCACACACACACACACACACACACACACACACACACACACACACACACACACACACACACACACACACCCTCTTTTCTTTTCTCCCTCTCCTCCCCTGGGCTGTTCCTCTGTCTCATGCCCTTGCCTTCCTCCATCCTGACAACCCTTCACCCTTCCTTCACCTCCTGCCATCCCTCAACTTTTTTTCCCCTTTAAATCTCCTCCTCTTTTACACTCACACACACTTGGATGAACTCATGTGCCAGGGCACATAGTTTAAGCATGTAAACATTCTCTTGTTCAGACAGACATGGACATATCAGCAGAGATTCTGCACAAAAAACCCACAATGTAGCTCACATTTTTACACTCACACACAGTACTGTAGATCACACACTCCCGTGCCTCCTTCCTCACTAGTGGGAGTGGTGTAGCGCATCTTGAAACAGTGACTGGATCCAGGTAGACATTTCTGGCATTCTCAGCCCTGCTTTGTACCATCCACCCCACATGTGGCTTCAAAACAATCAGACCTCTTAATATGCAAGATGAAAGATCACAGTGTGTGTATGTAAGCATGTAAATGTGCAAACATTTATGGGTGGTAGCAGTGGATTTGGAGCTTGCTGTTGAGCGCACTGCTCAGAAGCCACGCTTGTGGCTTAAAGCAACATCTAATGAATAAACTCTCTAAGGTAAACAATTGCCACAGTGCAGCCCAAGTTTACAGTGGATGCAGTCCAGGGAATTAGGCATGAGAACAGGAACACATCAGTTAGGAAGTTAAAATTCATACACATGCTGAGAAGCTCTTACACAGACAAAAACAAACTTACCTGTTTCACGATCTAGTTAAAAAGTTCACTGCTTGGACGGAAAGGCAGCAACTGGACCAAAGCTTCCGGCAAAGAATCGCATTCTACTTGGAAGAAGACCAGTTCAGAGAGAGGATGGGGGACGGGCTCAGATCCTGTCTGACAAACTGACTGAGGTTGCCAAGGAGGTGGCTGACTTAAATGTCTCACAATCTTCCGGCAGGCAGCAATGAGACCAAAGTGTCTGTCAGCTCAGCAGCAGCAGCAGCAGCAGTGGCTCCAGCGGTTTGCTTTGTCGTCCCCCACGCCACCTAACAGAGCTCAAACACACTTGTGCGCTCGCCGTGTTTAGGTCATGCTCAAAGTATGCCTGTATACCAATGTTCTGCAAGCTCAGGGAAACCACATCCTGTTACATATTTACCTCCCTCCCCTATCTCTCCCTCCCTTTTCTCTCTTTTGAATCTTTCTATGTGGTGTTCTCTCTTTCTCCTGCCTTTCTCTCGCTCTCCTGTGATTGTCTGAAGCAACTGAGCGCTCTGACCCAGCGTCTGCTCAGCACAGCCCCTCTGCCTCACTGTCTGTCTCTCCAGCAGCCACACCAGTTCCACTCGACTGACTGAAGAATCCCTCTGAAGAGAGGGGGGAGAGAAAAGAGGGGTGGGAAAGGAAAAGAGAAGGGGGGTGGCAGGGGGGAGGTGGGGAGGAGGTTTCACTGGGAAATACCAGAGAGAGGGAGGTGGAGAAGGAGGAAGGGTGGTGGGCGTTGTTTTAGGGAGTGAAGATCCCAAGAAATATGGCTGGACAGAAATAGTTATCAATTGATTGTTTGAGACAGAAATCTGTGTCAATACACGTGCACACACATATTCAAACATGCATTCTGTGGGCAAAGTGTTTTTACGAGCTGGTGATAAATTTAACTAAAACAGGGTAAAAGCCATGATGGTTGCTTTAGTTTGATTGTGTGTGTGTGATCCTCAGTACGTCACTCTCTTGTGGTTATGCATGTTTAATAAGTCCAGGTTTGGACCCTCTACCCCTACAGCTCCGTATTAGTTATATAAGCCAGTTTGTATGAGTGATCATCCGTGTGGAGAAACACAACAACTACCAGTCCTACTTGAACAACAACAACAGAGATCCATATCGAACGCAAATGTTCATGTTCAGGCTCCATCGTATCTTAAAAACCTCGTAGAGCCTTATCATCCTAACAGAGCACTTCGCGCTCAGAGTGCAGGTTTACTTGTGGTTCCTAGAGTCCACAGAAGCAGAATGGGAGGCAGAGCCTTTAGCTATCAAGCTCCTCTCCTATGGAACCAACTCCCAGTCTCAGTTCGGGAGGCGGACACCCTCTCTACCTTTAAGATTAGACTTAAGACGTTCCTTTTTGATAAAGCTTATAGTTAGGGCTGGATCAGGTGACCATGAGCCTTCCCTTAGTTATGCTGCTATAGGCCTAGGCTGCTGGGGGGCCCCATGATGCTCTGAGTTTCTTTCCCCTCCCCTCCTGCTCTTACCTTTCTGCAGGTTGCCCTGGCCCTGGAGCTCTACATCTCTGACGAGCAGTCACCAGCCACATCAACCTGACCAGTGTTTGATTGTTTTGTCTTGTTGCTTTTCTTCTTTTGTCTCTCCTCTATCCACTCACCCCAACCGGTCGAGGCAGAAGGCCGCCCACCAAGAGCCGGGGTCTGTCGGAGGATTCTTCCATTAAAGGGAGTTTTTCCTCCCCATTGTCACCAAGTGCTTGCTCAAGGGGGATTTGTTGGGTTTTCCCTATGTAATAATAGTGATAACAGTAAGGTCTAGTCCTGAGATGACTTTTGTTGTGATTTGGTGCTATACAAATAAAATTTGATGTGATTTGATTTGAAATGTGCAACACTGCTGACTTCAGGGAAGAAGTTTCCATCACTGTCTGTCTGCACCATTAACTCTCTGCAATGTTTAAATTTGCTATAAATGAATGTATGGTTGCACTCTGGTTGGCTGGAAAGAGAAAGAGTTTTGTCTTGTCTATCTCTCACCATTTTGGAATTTAAGGTAACTTAAAGCAGCTACAATTAGTATGTTGATATAAATAAGTCATGTGGCTAAATGCATATGGAACAGTTTGTAATCATGAACTTAAACAGATCCCAGATCTGTTTGTCCCCTCTGTTTGATGGAGCTTGGTAGCAAACTGACACCATATTGTTTGTGCAAGAGGTGAATGTCTGCCAAAGTGTTGAAGATGAATTAAAAATAATATTTGTCCAAAATAAGATAATTGATAGGCTTAGTTGGAACATGGATTGGGCCACATATTTCTGCTCAAACCCGACCCATGCCTGAGAATGTGGTGTGTGAACCCGACCCAGACCCAACATGGTTTTTACGTTTTTTACCCCTTATCATTAACAGACATTTGAGTGCTCCAGCCATCTAGCCTCAAGTTTGCCCTACGTCCCCAAACCCAGCCAGGACCCAAACATAATTTCTAAATTTTTCTCCAAACTCTGTCCAAACCCTCAGGTTCCAGTGGGTCCTGTGGGGTTTGCTTCTGGTGTCTGTGCTCTAGGCTGAGTAAAAATCCAACTGAATAACAATAGGGACAAAAGTTCACCTGTTTTTTTATGAGTTTTTATAATTACCAGTGAAGCTCTCCACACCCTGTGATTACACTTACTCGTCCTCCACAGTGTGATCATGACACTGGGCTCTTCTTAAAGTCATCTGTCACCTAACAGGGGAGTCACGCGCTCATTTGCTAGGGTTGTAGGAGTCTTTTCAAGAAGAGCCCTCATTGCGTCACTCAGATGTCACTACAAGACTCCAGGCCACAAATTAATGATATGTCTTTTTTAAAGATGGAGCTTTCCTGCCTATGTTTGCTGTCACACGAGGAGCCCTGTTACCCTTTAATTAGCCTTCCTGAAAGCACTAGCAGAAACTGCTAACATATATCTAGATCTGGGCAGTGTAGGTTTGATTTTAGAAGGACATTTTTCAGCATTAGACCTTCACATGAAAAAGGTTCAGTGCTGGGAGGGAAAAGGGCCACTCTGGGTTATCATATCTTTGAAACACCCATGGAGAAACCTAAGATTGGAATTAAAGAGCAAAAGACAGTGAAACTGTTTGGCTAGTTTTCCCTCTCTATAAACTTAATGAAATCAAACAGTTGCCAAAATGCTAAAGCTGTGCTGATTGACGCTGAGGTCTAAATGACACTCATGAGCATTTATAGTATGACTGCCAACATTCTTTAGTTTTGGAAAATAGCTAAATACATAAAAAGTGGAAAAGAACACATTCACATGAAGTCATGTAAATCTTGCAGTTTACTGGTGTGTTTAGTGTCCCAACACTTGGTGAAAACTTGACCTTACTGCCACAAAGAACACACAGTTGAATGTCTGACACACTGGAGAACTGTGGGGCCACTGGAATGGGACAAATACTGTAAGAGAAGTTATAAAGATGGGCAGTAAAGCACAGTGCCTGTGCAAGTTGTTGACTGGGTGAATCCGTCTGACGTGAATTGCTGAAGACTCAGACTGACCGCTGATTGGACGGAGAGTAAGTAGAACAAGACATCACTGGTGGAACGGACAATAATGGACGAGCCTCCTCATTCTGCAATAAAATAATAACTTTGTTCAGTCACCAGGTCTAATGAGCACAGTGTTGTCACTTAACCTCAGCTTTTGCCATGGCTTCTCTGTGACCCGAAGACTGATAGTGCCCTCCAGTGTTTAAAGTTGGAAGTGGAAGTGCTTTAATAATGAGTCAAATTAAAGGTAGTGAGCATGTCTTTAACTGTGGTCTTGTTTCTATAGTCCCAGAGTGATTCACTGTATGTTTTTATTTTAATGTAAGTGATTCTTGCTCTCTATAAGCTGCTTGCATATTTGAATTACTGTACAATGGTGTTTGGTAGAGTACCGTATATATCTATACATACAGTATATTTTTACTGTTGTTTATATAGTATTTTAGGGACTATTTTAACTTTATATTCTAATTTAGGGTGAATATATAACATCTGCCTAGAGACTACGGATGAAAAATAACCTTATTTGTATATGTTTGTCATGTGTGTCCCGGCTGAAAAAAACTAAATTATAATCAGTGGGGGAAGACATACTTAGATTGTTTACTTATTGGATTTGATGTACTGTGTACTTAACACTGGAGCCAGTAAAGGTGGAGTTAACGTTAACTCCTTTATATCTTGCGCTTATCATTTGCATTCTAGCTGGGTAGCCTGGGAATTTCCCACTGAGGACCAGTAAACCTTTAAGATTATACTGCATTTAGTTTTATTCATCTGATTCTGAAAAGTAACCAAAGTTGTCAAATGAATGTAGTGTAGTAAGTAGTACAATATTTGCCTCTGAAATGTAGTGAAGTTGTGTGAAGTAACAGAAAATAAAAATATAATACAGGAAAGTACAAATACCTCAAATCTGTACATGAGTAAATGTACTTAGTTACTTTGTGATGAAAGTACAATATTATTAGCTATAAAAATTAGCTATAAAAGCTCCTTTTATTCCATCCTTTTATTGTTCAACATTTATGAATACACGTTTTCATTATTAATATGATTTTAACAGAATCTAGTGGCTGTGTGGACTCTTGAGTAGTTTGCATGCATTCAGCTGTATGTTTCAGTGAACAGTTGCTTGAATTCAGCAACTGAGGTGAACAAGAAAAGGTTTCTAACAAAAGACTTCAGCCTTTCTCACTTACTGTAATTTTCACAAAGCCATGCTGCATTAGGCTGTCAGCTTTCTGTCTGGGGTGTCCACCTGTCACTGCACTTGGGGCTGTCTAGCATTTTGTTCTGTAATGGCTACCATTAATTTAAATGGTGTGCATTCATTTTTACCTCATGAGAACAATTTTTGTTCCAAGAAAATAATATCTGAATGTATGCAACGCCAAGGATACATAGAGCACTACACCCATGACATCTATCATCAGGTGAAACTTTAATGACCATGCACAGAACAAACTCACTGTAATTTGCAGTTTGTATTACCCTGACAGGTTCAACACTAGAAGGCAAATGGGCTATAGTTTACACTTCATATGGAGCTGGGTTCACACACGTTATGGTTTTGTCAGATACAGAATCTCACAACTGAAATGTATTGAGCTTGAAGGCTCATTGTTACAAGTCCCAAGCAAATGCAAATGTTAGCCTACACTGGCTAAACTACGATGGAGAATGTGGTGAGAATTGTACGAGCTAAACATCAGCATGTTTCACTGTCGTAGTAAGTATTCTTCATTGTACTGTACATGTTGTAGCTTTGTTGGATATCTCACAGTTTTAAATTACATTACATGACCTCCTGGGTATTAAAGTTATGATGAAACAGCCCACAGAGATGAAGTGAACAACAGTCGGGTATTTCTTCTCTGTGGGTTTGCTACTACAAGTCAGTGTTGTAGTCAAGTCACTAAGCCTTGAGTTAGAGTCAAGTTTCAAGTCCCCAGTGTTCAAGGAATAATCAGTCAAGTCCGAGTCAAGTCCAAGTCAAGTCCCCAATACCCAAGAGTCAAGTCCAAGTCTATTAAATGCAACTGACACAGCTC